ATATCACAAAAGTTATTACTAAGAAGAGACATCAACTGGAATTTATTTAAATAGTTTGTCTCTAGAATATAAATGGTCCTCAGAAATAATGAAAACGCACAATATTTGCACTTAATTTCAGTAAGATCATAGTCTGTACATTAAAAAGCAAATGAATTTATTTCCAACACATGTGTTACTGTCCTACCACCCCCATTTTTACATCCCCAAACAATTTACTAATACTACCATATAACTAGTATATTACAGGCATCATGTAATTTCCGCCAAACAAAAAGGACATTTGTTAAAACCCTGTTGATTTCAAACCTATATGCATGTCACATTCCTGGCATCCTTATGTTCAACAATGTAATTTGAATTTCATATGTTCATCCTTCAGTGACTCCCTTGCCAGCTTTTAAGTTGAGATTTTCACTACTTTACTGAGCAAGTGAAAATTGAAATGGTATTTTGTTTGATTTCTGCTGGGTACCGTATTGACAAATGAAATCATCAACCTTACTATCTTTCTCTCCCTCTATATTCCCCCAAATAAAACAGAACTCACATGTGTATCATCTTTTTATGCTCTGATGAGTTCTATGCCATGCTGTAAAAAGATTGAAACTCAAGTAGATTATTTTCACCATCTCCTTCTTACACAAATCTTGTGGTTCATTCAAATCTTTAAACTCCAAATGTACTGTATAAGATTTCAGCCAAACACAGTAAGTCAGTAATCTATTCAAGGAAAACAGACAAAAGAACTACTCTCTATGTCTGATTTAAATACCAACTTGATTGTGTTTCCCATGAAGATATACTAATAAGGCAGGAGTTTCTCTAATGGAAGGAATCCCAAGAGGTTTATACTACATTAGAAGGCAATTACTGAGGCATTTCTGGCATAGGCTATTGCTGTTTCATCAATAGAACACAATTGTGACTGATTTCCATCTGCCTTTTTATACAAGGTCAGGTTGCTCACATTTATTTGTCAGGCTGCTCACATTTATTTGTATATTGATATAATCTTCCCTAGCACAGTTCCTTCAAAATTTGATGACATATTATATCATCCACTGCAGTGGTGGAATTCAATTTTTTTTACTACCGGTTCTGTGGGCGTGGCTTATTTGGTGGGCATGGCTTGGTGGTCATGTGACTGGGTGGGCATGGCCAAGTCAATGTCACCCACATCAAGGGGTGCCTCGCCTGGCCCCCTCCCCTCCCAGCCATTCCTTGTCACCCAGCCTCAACTTATCTATAGTTCTGTAAAAATGTTGTTCACCTTTTTTGACTTTATTATCTGCATGCTATAGATGTACTTTCATGGAATACTGAAAGGAGAAAATGGCTCACATGCTTTACTCACGAGTGTGATATAGGCAACAGGCTTTTAAGGGGCTACCACAAAGAAAGTGGGGGATGTATTTTCCAAAGCACCAGGAGGCAAACAAGAAGCAATGGATGGAAACTGAACAAAGAGAGAAGCAACCTAAAACTAAGGAGAAACTTTCTGACAGTGGACCTGCTTGTCCCCAGAAGTTTTGGGTGATCAATCAATGTTTAAAAGACTGGACATCATTTCTCTGAAATGTTATAGGGTTCCCCCAAAAGTCCCTTCTAAGTGTTATTCTGACACCTTTCCCAGGACCTCTACTCAGAGTTTGGCATCCTGTTTTCCTGCTTGAGCAGGGGATTGGACTAGAAGACCTCCAAACTCCCTTTCAACTCTGTTAAACACACATGTATTTATGCTCTGGACCATAGACATTGAATGCATGTAAACCCTGAAAAATATGTGGTAGCCCTGGGCAAAAGAAAGGCAGTAGAATCACTCTAGGTGTGGGGACAGTGTAAAATATTAACACATGATAAATAATGGAACAATTAAAAATACTAGCACAGAGTTTTCTCTCTCTCTCTCTCTCTCTCTCTTTCTTCCTATTTCCTTTTCTTTCTCTTTCTCTGTCTCTTTCTGTCTTTCTCTCCCTTCCTTTCTTTTTCTCTCTCTCACACACACACCACACTCTCTCTTCCTATTTCTTTTTCTTTCTTTCTTTCTCTTTCTTCCTCTTTCTTTCTCTCCCTTCCTCTTTTTTTTTCTTTCTTCTCTCTCTCTCTCTCTCTCTCATTCTCTCTCTCTCACACACACACACACACCCCTGTGAGCCTTCATTCCCTCTCACTCCAGGCACCTTACTCACAAGGGGAAGTGAATCCAGCATTAGAGAAGTTCTGCAGATAAACGGACTTGCATTTGAAGCTCCTGCAAACTTCCCAATGGCTGGATTCCCCCCCCCCCCCCCCCCCCCCCCC